TGATCATGGCCTTGAGCAATATACAATTTGTTAAAATATTTCAGCATTCTGTTGCACTGGACTTTTCACATTCACTTCTGTCTTTAATGCAACTCTGTTACAATCTCTCCTTAATTTAAAATAACATTAAAACCACAATAAACTGCTATATATTTCAGCCTTACTTGGCCATCCTCAGAAAACTGTTCACTGCTCACAAATATATTTTAATGTGAATGACGAATGTAATGACATTGGAATGCTTTAATGTGTAGCAGTTTTGACAAGTGAACAGTTGCCAGAGGATGGCCAAGTAAGGCCGAAACATGTAGCAGTTGATTGTGATTATGATGTTACTTTAAATTAACAAGAGAGCGTGAACAGTTTGTTGAAATCTTTGTTTTGTCCTATATATTCTCCTTCTGCCTTGAATAATGACATAAAAAGATATAATTTTATATTCTTTCAAGTGCCAAAATAAATCAGTTTCAATTAAATAAACACAAAAAAATGACAAAAACTCATGAATATACTGAGATTCAGTTATTCAGTATAGAGGGGGTGGGTTTCCCCATGCACCACGACTAATACTCTATTGTACGTCCCACTTTAATTTCTACTGTCGCCATACCCTACCGATACTGGTGCCTGCTATCTCCCCTTTCTGCCAGCGAGGTCGGCCCTCTACTGGCATTGGTACCCGATAACTTCCCCATCTACTGGAGGCATTGGAAACTACTTGGGCAGGAAACATTTTGCCTAATTTTGCTCAGAGTTCTCCTAGAGACATGAGGATCTTTTACGTGCTGTAAATCTACGACACGGGACCCACGACTTAAAGTCCCTCCCGGAAGCCTTGTTCCATAAATTTTTCCACCCTTAAAAATTCCATGACCTCCACTGGGTTTGAACCCGTGTAGCTTGAGTCATGAGGTGGGAACGTTACCCCTAGACTACGGAGGCCGCTTAATATACTGAGATACTCAGAATACAACAGACACACTTTCTGCGGTCAGTGACTGCCATAGGCAATACATAGCAGTAAGATCTTCCATCATGTGACACCATTCAGGTTGGTAATCAATATTTTGGAAAAACATGCTGTTTTCAATTTCAGGGTAAAAGCAATGATAAGTATTTACCAAACTGCATGGCACCACATCCTACAAGACTGGAATCTTAACACTCACAGCCATGGAAACCTCAAATCTCATGTTATATACCAGTGTTGTAACAAACACTCAAACCTGCATGCTGCTATCATAAGGGTTGTTCACAGTGCAGTCCATACAATTAATAAAGCATTGTAGTTTTGTACAACAAGTTGGTTACAAGCCCACACACATGGAACCGTTGTCTAAAACATCTCTGAGAGCATGTTACACCTTGAGCAGGTAACCTTATGGAAGAAAAGTCCCGCATGTGTACAACATAATTTCTGGTATGGTGATTATGGTTCCTATTGTGTGTTCAGAACAGGATATTTCTGATGTGATGCAATATTCTGTTGCTATGACATACCCTCAAAGATGTTCTAGACAGAGTTCAACTCTATGCGCTAACTGCATGCAATTATATCAGCTCAGGAACTTCTAACATACAGCCCTTTTTGCTCTCAGTATACAAATTTAACGATTCCCTTGTTGTGCTGGGGTTTCACTTATTCTAAGGTGTTTTCTGTATCACAGACTATACAGTGTCATATGGTATGATGACTAATGGGCAAGTATTTGGAAGGAAGCAGCCATAACCTGAGGTACTACCCTGGCATTTTCCTAAAAGGGCTGTGCAAGACCATGAAAAACCTCAGTAAGGATAGTCAATGTCCCAGCTGAGATTCAAACCAAGAAACTCCTGAATACAAGTCTACCACATCACCACTACAGCAACCTGTTCAGTTTCATGATTCTTGAATGGAGTACAGTACAGTGATGGGACAGTTTTACCATGAACATTCAGCAGTGTGACCACAGCTGGAGCAAAGCCCTCAAAAGAGAGTCTACAAGTTCATTAAGCAACTTAATAAACACAGCCATTAAACTCAGTTGTTCTCAGACATCCATCTCTACATCCTCAGCCTGTAAATGGCATCAGAGTCCTCTAAACAACCTTACCCCCTTCAACCTCAAACCTGTCTTTTTTAGGATCCAACAAATTCTAACGGTGGAGAGTTGTATAATGTAAACAAAATGTTCAATAATTTTGAAGAGTTACATCTTCTGGGTTATAACGCCATGTAGTCTGTTGAAGTACATTTCAGAGGAACATAAGCCAAGCCAGAAAGAAACATGAAGTAGGCAGCAAGCACAGCTCCTGACTTGCAACGGACTACACCGTGTTATGTCCCACTGTGAGAGCCTCAAATCCTTCAACAATTTTCGCTGCAACTTCATCAAGACGCCATTTGTTATGCATAAGGACTCTGAAGGGAGTGACCAAGACAATGAAAAGAACATAAATATAATACTGATGAATAATATCAAATTTTTGCAATTTTCCTTTGATAATCTGAACAATATAAGATGTGAAACCAGCAGGCATTTCAGGAACAAAAAGAGGGAATATCTGAAAGACAAAATTGATGAGCTTGCAGTGAACAGTAAGAACAAGAATATTAGAGACCTGTATAGAGGAATAAATTACTTTAAAAGGGGTTACCAGCCTAGCAGTAACTTAGTGAAGGATGAGAATGATGATTTGCTTGCAGATTCCCACAACATTTTGAATAGGTGGAGGAACTACTTCCCTCAGTTATTGAATTTACATAGTGTCAGTGATGTTAGGCAGACAGAAATCGATACAGCTGAGCCGTTAATACTTGAAAGTGCTATTGCAAAATTGAAACGGTATAAATCACCAGGTAGTGATCAAATTCCAGCAGAATTTATTCAAGCAGGAGGCGAAATATTACGTTCTAAGATCCACAATCTAATTACTTCTATTTGGCATTAGGAAAAATTGTCTCATCAGCGGAAGGAGGCTATTATTGTACCAGTTCACAAGAAGGGTGATAAAACTGACTGTAGTAATTATCGGGGGATATCACTGCTATCAACTTCATATAAAATTTTGTCCAATATTCTTCTCTCAAGGTTAAGTCCATATATAGATGAAATTATTGGGGATCATCAGTGTGGGTTTCGATATAACAGATCAACTACAGATCAGATCTTTTGCATTCGTCAGATATTTGAGAAAAAATGGGAATACGATGAGACAGTACATCAGCTATTCGTAGACTTCAAGAAAGCCTATGATTCAGTTAGAAGGGAAGTATTGTACAATATTCTGATAGAGTTTGGGATACCCATGAAACTAGTTAGGTTGATTAAAATGTGTTTAAACGAAACGTATAGTAAAGTCCGTGTAGGTAAACATTTGTCTGATAAATATCCTATCCAGAATGGTCTAAAACAAGGAGATGCTTTATCGCAACTCCTTTTCAACTTTGCCTTAGAATATGCAATTAGGAAGGTCCAGGGAAACCAGGTGGGACTGAAACTAAATGGGACACATCAGCTGTTGGTCTACGCCGATTATGTGAATATAATGTAGATACAATAAAGAAAAACACACAAACTTTAATTGACGCAAGTAAAGAGGTTGGTCTAGAAGTAAACACAGAGAAAACTAAGTATATGTTACTGTCTCGTCACGAAAATGCAGGGCAAAATCATGATACGAAGATAGGAAACAGATGTTTTGAAAATGTGACACAGTTCAGATATTTGGGAACAACGATAACAGATCAAAACCTGATTCAGGAGGAAATTAAGAGGCGATTTAACTCAGGCAATGCTTGCTACCATTCGGTCCAGAACCTTTTGTCTTCTCGTCTGTTGTCCAAAAATATAAAAATTAGAATATACAAAATTATAATTTTGCCTGTGGTTCTGTATGGGTGTGAAACTTGGTCTCTGACATTAAGGGAGGAGAAAACTGCATAATGAGGAGCTTCATAACTTGTACTCTTCTCCAAGTAAAATTAGAATGATCAGGTCAAGGAGGATGAGGTGGGCAGGTCATGTAGCATGAATGGGGGAGAAGAGGAATGCATAGAGGATATTTGTGGGAAAGCCAAAAGAGACCACTAGGAAGACCAAGACACAGGTGGGTGGACAATATTAGAATGGATCTTAGAGAGATAGGATGGCATGGTATGGATTGGATAGATCTGGCTCAGGATAGGGACCAGTGGAGTGCTCTTGTGAACACAGTGAACCTTCGGGTTCCATAAATGCTGGGAAATTCTTGAGTAGCTGCAGAATTGGCGGCTCCTCAAGAAGGGCTCAGCTCCATGAGTAAGTAAGTAAGTAAGTAAGTAAATGCTGTTATTTTATCAGCAACGAAAGTGTGTGCCCAAACAAAATACACACTTATATCTTGATTTATGCTCCAGCCCTACTAAAGCTGTTATCACAATGAAAATGGGAACAGGCTGTACCATAGCTGACAGCTCAGTCAAAACCATCTCTTTAATTTGTGGTCACAATGCTGGCATCTCTGAAGAGACCCAATTGTAATCCAACTGAGGCAAATCGAGAGGAAACAAAACATAGTTTCTCTTCAGCCAGCCTGTGTGGGTGTGGAGGTTGTGGTCAAGCTGTGTTGTGATTTTATGATGATGAGAGATTGATAAAAGTAACTCAATTCTGGTGCTGATTTTGAAAGACTGTGAGTGAGATTCCCGTAGAATACAATCAGGCCCATTCCGCTCCTGATGTGACCACAGACTAACCGACCTGTAGTAGATGACATGTAACCCTCATCTTCACTGCTGTGGAGTTCTGGGACCATAGTCACTCCCTTTCTCCTACCCAGTATCTTCTCCTTCCTTTATGTCTCTGGCATATAAATTTTGGTTTAATGTTATGGGCAGTACTTAAAAAAGAAAGACAGAATTGGGGTACAGAACACCCATTTTTCTTTTCACAAATTTTAAACATCACTTATCCCCAAAGTGTCCCAATCCAAATGACATTACATGGAGTAGGACACTCGCTGTCTCAAATTATCAGACTACTTTTCACATACTTTAATCATGTCAGTTGAAACAATTCAGATCACTCAAACTGGTAGAGCCACCTCATAATGGAGGGTTACATTACAAATGTCTCACACCTTTTAGGGTCTTCTCCACAAATATGCACCAACCTCTTCAGTTTATCTCCTTCATGACAGGGTCCACTCAAAATTTTGAATGTGATATTTTAAAATATGATACGGTAAATTCTGATTCTTGTCTTACTTGCAATTAAAAACGATACTGCCCTTTATCATCCAGTTTCATTCAACCAGCTGCTAGCTGGCACTGTCATCTGATACAAGAAAAATGGATTTAATATTCTAAAGTGAATAATGCCAGCCAGGCCCTGAATTACATCCTGTTTTATATCCAGCAGACATATAATCCCCCCCCCCCCAAAAAAAAAAACTTCCTAAAACCTGTGATGTCCATCACAATTTCGCTTATTTAAAGTCACATTAATTTATTATGAAAACTGTGAATTAAAATTATTTATGGATATACAACAAATGAACATGTTAATGCACAGTATATCCTCACAAGTGTCACATCTGTTAACACAACAAAAACCACCAATACACCACAATCGTATGACCACTCTTCTGTTATGAATGTACTTTCCACACATCATCCAAATATCCATCTCTGGAAGTATGCACACTTTCGAGAACATGCACCATTCCACTACAGTATTCCCTCGTTTCATTATGAAACAAGACACAAACGCATATCACACTCAAAGAGAGCACCTCACGGGAACCAGTCCGTTTCGTACCTTCCTAAAAAATAAAAAAACAAAAATAATGTTGGTGTTCATTCTGCTCTTTGGTCTGTACACCGTGTTGATATGGGCTGTTTCATGCGTAAACACTGCATCCAACTTTAGGGTTGGAGTAGGGTGGGTGTATGTCTAGGTTACTGGTCCAGCAGACCCACGGGGGAAGCGCCTGTGCCCCGTCTGGGCCAACAGAAACAGTGACCTTGGGAATGTTATCAACAGTGGCCCAACCACCAAGAACCTCCCCATACAGGTGTCAAACCACCAGTGCGCTTGGTGGCAATTAAAAAGCTATTTCTGACATGTTCCTGTGCACTGTTCCTATAAGCCAAGATCAGCAGTCCTCACCCCATGGTTCTGCTGGACCAATACACGAACATTCACCCACTCTACTCTGACCCTGAAGATGGAAGCGTCATGTACTTCCGAAACATCAGTAACAATGCCCACATCAGCATGGTGCAGAGACCCAAGAACAGAATCAACATCAACGGTGAACCACCATGAAAACCTAAAATCAGTATAAAAAATATTTGACTTAACAAGTTACAATTCAGCCTGATACAAGAAGCTTTTCCACCAAAAACAACAAAGTCTCATGCTTGTTCCTATATACATTGCAGGCACAACTGTATATGCAACAAAATGATGATGTAACAACACCTGCTACACCATTCCTCAAGTAAAACAGGCACAACAGCTGTGAACCTCACATTCTGCCCAACAGTCAGTAATAAGGTAAAGTTGTCCCAGTGCTTAATTATGCCATGAAGACACATGGGTGAGAGCAGATATACCTAGATCCACATATTTTTGACCTTGGCACTAGTTCAAAGTGAGTAACAGTCAGTAATAAGTGTTTCCAGTTCATATAGCTTACAGCAAATCAAAAAAAGAGTTATGGCTTGCCAGAGACAATGCAGAATCTGATGCTCATTACTGAAAGGAAAAGGGCATCTCTGAACGCAGAACAAGATCTGTGTTTGGAGAAAGTTCAGCCAATAAGCATAATTTTGTACATATGATAGATACCTCACTATGACTTAATAAAACAACTAAAGTAAACTGTTAATAATTAAAATATCCTAAGCAATGTTAAGCTGTTGTTGACAACACAGCCAACAGATGAGGAAGCAGGGATTGAAAACAACACAACAAAACACAGTGTAACAACTTGAATTAGTGCAGCATCTGCATGTACAGGCTGAAAACCTTCAAATCATTCCCATCATGTCCACCTTTCTGCCATGACTCATATCAACCTGTTCAAGCCACATACAAGTTTTCCCATTTTCACTAAAAAGGTAGTGAGAATGCTACGTTCCCAGTACATGTTTAGGTGCATCTTAGTTTCTTCTTTCCCATTATGTATTCTTCCTTTTGCCACATCTCTTTAAACAAGGAGTTATGTGGCATATTTACAAATTTTACTAACAGTTAAAATATTTCCCCTTAAAGTAAATCATGTTTCTTATTCCAGCAATTAATTATGTAAGTAATTGTACAATCACTTTTAAAATGGAAGACTGAAGAAGGCGTATGTCACAAGGACTGCAAGACGAGTTACTGCCCCGCCGTAAAGAATCAACTGTCACAGGCTCCTTGTGTGGAGAACATCAGACTTTTCACATGTTTTTATTCAAATGAAATAACGTGAGAATTGAAGACATCAAGGCAGTTTTTCAGAGTATGAGAAAAGCAGCACTAAGAAGAGCATTTAAATACCTATGAATTATCAAAAACACATTTTGCACATGAGATGTACATGTCAGAACTGATGGGGGAAAATGTTACGAACATTCACTCAACAAGAATGCCTGTGTGGCTTCAAATATGATGAAAAGTCATTCATACTACTTATGCTCTTATAATCTTCTCTTGAACCGTGTAGGAGTCACTAGTTCAACTTCTCCCTATATAGACTCGGCACAGACCACTCACAGAAAACACATCACTGCTCAGCAATGGATATCATGTATTGTTGACAGGCATGTCCATCCATGCACACTCTAGCAATGGATGCCCTATGGTTGTGCATTCATTGCTGTGATATGTGTTGACTGGTCAGTTACCTAGCAACGCTGTCTCCATCCATGTTACTATACTGTGGTCTTCTAGGTTATAATCCCATGTAGTCCTGTATGTGGGTACCAATGTTTTAGAAGAATGTACTGCTTCCATGAAGTTAACTCTACATAAACCAGAGTGCACTCGACAAGTAGGCAGACCCACTGTCAGGTGACTCGATCAGGTGAAGAAGATTTGAAGATAATATGCATTAGAAACTGGAGACAGAAGTCACAGAATCGGGACCAACGGCAAGCAATCATAAACAAGACCAAGGTTCATCATGCACTGTAGCTCCCACAGGAGAAGTACTGCTTCCATCTGCCTGAAGACAGAGACACTATTTTCCTCTGAAATGTTACCTCCCAACTAAGAACATGATCACATAACCCAGACAACCAGAATGTGAGCTATCACCATTGCAAAAACTTAAGTTTTAGGGACAGGAGAAAGATTATACAGTATATCCTAATTATCAGAGCTAATAAAGGGATAAAGCCATAGGAATAATAAATAAAAAACAGATATAATACAAGATTTGTATGTGATCTGGAGGCCATAATGATTGTTGAAAACAAAGATTCAGAAACACAGGCATGGTATCAAATTTATTCAATTATTAAAGAAAAAAAAAGACTTATGGAGAAAATGTACTGCACAAAAAATGTGTGATTCGTTTTCCTTTAAGACTTCTGTTCCAAAAATTCTTCAGTCTAACAAATATGTACCAAGTATACACATCAGTTACATGCAGAAAACATGTGGGTGTTCACGTAAAGTTTCATTATAATTATCTGATCAAAACGAAAATTTAAACGAAAAGTCTTTGTAAAATCCTGCACTATCAAAGTTCATAATAGTCGCATCCATGCAAACTTGATAGGGGCTCTGCAATTCTGACAGTGCTCTTGAAATCAGAAGTACTATGAACTGGAAGTGACAGGCAGCAGTAGATTTAGCCTGCTTGAAGGTGCACCATTCTGGATGGAGGGACATACATTATCATGCAACCAGAAGTTGCAGTCAACCAGCGCCTGGAGATGTTTTGTTACAGAAGGATCTCATCTCATGCCCTTCAGGCAGAACAAGTAACAACACAACACTGTACATCCTGAGACAATGGCTTGGTCAAGGACTGGAGATACCTATGATCTGGCCTCCACGTTTGCCTGACCTCGAGGCAATGAAGTTTTACCTCTGAAGTCACAAGAGCAATTATATTTACTGTCAATATCCCTGTGTGTGTGTGTGTGTGTGTGTGGGGGGGGGGGAAAGGTAACATACATTTTTGCTCCCTACAAAAATGGTGACATGTTTGAATACATATCATGATGGAAGAGAAAAGGATAATAAAGGTGAAGCAGAAAGAAGAGAACAATAGTGAACAGGAAGAGATGGCTTCTTCCTGATGCCTTGGGCTTCAAAGGGTTAAAATTAGTGGCTTTTCCTGTACCTCTAAGTTAAATTGTGTCTTAATGGATTCTGGTTTTACAGTGCATTCTGAAAATGTGTGGTAAGCAGATGACTGAAGCTCTCAATATAAAATATCAAGAAATTCTATTGTCACTCATTACACACAAGAACAGTGCTATAAAATGAGGAGCGATTTTTTTAAAATTCAAGTTGAAGGATCGGCTTCAAAACATTCTGAAATACAGACATAAATGTACTGTGCTCCTGTTACAGAACAAAGTACTACACATAACTCATGCACCTACATACCACCAAGGCAGACCAGAGCCAACATAAGCCAGTTTTGAGGTTACAATGCACAAAGGACTCAAACACTAAAGCAAGCAACACAGGGTTTCAAGAGTACAGCATCAGTAAGATAAATTCACACAAATACAGGGAATCAGTCAGCACACACTGTAGAAAGCAATGTGCACAAAAAGAAAAAATGGAAGAGACATGTTTGGGTTTTGACATTCATCACTTGGGAACTGGGGACATAAATTTTTAATTTGGGGGTAATGATACTTTGATGCTAGGCCATCTGGGCTCAAACTGTGCCATCACAACAGTGACATTGGGCCTATCAGAGTCACACTCCACTGACACAACGATGTGACACTAGGCCAGCTGGACTCAAATTGTGCCATCACAACAGAGACATTGGGCTTATCAGACTCACACTCCACTGCCACAACGATGTGACACTAGGCCAGCTGGGCTCAAATTGTGCCATCACAACAGAGACATTGGGCCTATCAGAGTCACACTCCACTGCCACAACAATGTGACATTATGCCTGTTGGAGACACAAATGCAATGTTGCAATAGTGTAACATGATGTACAATAAAATTAAGTATGTACATTGATCATGGAACAATTATTACAAACCTCTATTGCCTAAAAATACTGGATTTTATATCTCATGTTATTATGGGGATGACAGAAATATTGTAATTCAGATGTAACAGTTTATTGTCCAGGAATAGGGGATTTCAAGCCAGTAGATACTATGAGATTGGCAGACACATTTTAACCCAGGGTTTACAGTACTAGTCTTGAAAAAATGCAAAGTTTGGCCAGCTGGACCACATGCATGCTACTTGCAACAATGGCCTACATGGCTGATAAAAGTAAAGTGCTGCAGAAATACACACACTCTCACAAAACAATATTAAAAAAATCAAGCACTTTGTTAATGTAATTACTGAAATAATTTTGCAAGTGAAGCACTAAGAGTATTATCGGCTACAAAAGAGGTAACAGTGTCTGAACAACTTGTAGAAACAATTCGTTTTTCGTGATGGCACAGATATAGATAGAACATACTGCTGGAGGCATTTCATTTCAGCACTGCAAAGCAGTACTAAAATTTCAACTGTAGCAGAGATTTCTCTACATGCTAATATTGAGAAAACAGAAATATCTTTACATCTCTTGCCTCTTTCCCAGATAATCTGAATATAATGGTTTATCAGTTTACATATTTATTTATTTATAACTTATTTCAACAAACTGTCAGTAGCTCAGATTACAGTGTCAAATGGTAGGATGATTGCTGAATAGTGAACAGGAAAAGATGTGGAAGGAGGGAATCATGGCTTAATTTGAGGTAAATCCTGGCATCTGACCAGAGGGGCTGAAAAGAATTATGCAGGACCTCACCCAGGATAGCCAGTCTTCTGTTGAGATCTGAGCCCAGTACCTCCCAAATTCAAAGCATGAGTAGTGTGCACTTAACCACAACATTTGATGAACGTTTTGGTGTGAGAAGACTGATCAGTCCCCTTAAAAGAACTCTTCAGGAATGCTACCTAACTCTGCAAATAAGTAACCAGCTAGCTATAAGGAGCCAAGTCCCTGAAAAGCCAGCTATCGTTCATCTACTCAAGAATTTTCCAACATCTTATCAAACCCAAAGGTTCATTACCGTGTTCACAAGAGCCCATCACTGGTCCCTATGCCACACCAGATGATTCCAGTCCATACCACCCCAACCTATTTCACTAAGATCCATTTTAACAGTATTCTCCCACCTATGTCTAGGTCTTCCTAGTGGTCTTTTTCTTCCTAGCTTTCCCACTAAAACACTTTATACTTTACACAGGTTTCTCCAGCCTCCTACCATTTCAACCCTCTTCCATCCAAACATTCTCCTCAGCACCCTGTTCTCAAACACCCTCAGTCTATATTGAAAGTTATTTTTAATATAATTGAAACATGTGAACAAATTTGTTATTAATTTCTGTTAACTGAATGTGACATTTTAACATATATCATTTAATTATCAAATTAAATGAAAATGGTGTTAAACTTCTATAGAGAAATGATTTCTCAAACAACATGAAGGATGGGTGCCTGATATCTATTTAATAAATATCACTCCTTTCAAAACTTGAATCACTGTCCAAAATTTATAATATCCTTGTGTAATGATATTCTACATGAGACTTGGCGTGAATATTATGCTTTCAGACTTCTGGGGTGTGATGCTGTAAAGTCTTGTAGATATATGTCAATGTTTTGGAGAAACCTGTTGCTTCCATCTTCAGAATCTTCTAGTATCAAGATGTGCATACCAGGTTCCTATAAACCACTGGTATGTATCAACCGCATTATTGTATAAAAACCCAGAAAACAATCAGCTTAATGAAGCAATGTCTATTTGGTTCCAACTTCTGACTTCAAATGTAGTGAATTACAGTTCAGGTTAACTAGAATATAGCTACTCTTCGAACCAGAGTACATCATACCTTTACGTACACACTCCTATGGAAAAAAGTGTTAGTATGTTAAATACTCCACACTTGTCAATCTTTTAACCTTCTAATAACAATGTAATGATCCACATCACTGGCAATGCACCCTTGTTCCCATAGCAGATGCAGTATATAAGTTTAACACCTACATCAAATTGCTATGAGAATACGTGAAAACGTCCATAGCCATTGCCACATCCCCTATAACACATCATTCACCAAACATCCTACCATTTCATGGTACATGGCTACTGACAGCATTGTTAAATGAACTGTATATAAAATGAATGAATACAGCAAACCTATATTTCTACGTAGAATCTAGTCTCATAAACAAGACTTTACTGAGCACACAGTCAAAATGACAAAAGACTGCTATAATTACAGGACCTGTCACTGAGAAACAACACTGCAGAAAGCATGCTGAAGGAAAGCATGTTACCATTCTGTACCAAGTTATATCAATTCTCATCTTTCAAAACAATTATTTTCTACATTGAAACATGCTTCTTCCATTTTAAAATTCTCTGAGTCATAAACATATTGAAATAATTCCATATTCAAACATAATATATAATCAAAGAATATATAAAATGAATGCAGTCTTCGACATGTATTTAATAACTGCATGTACTTTCTTAAAATCTGAGTAGTGTGATACTAACACACTGAGGTGAAATCATTTTCAGTCAAGACTATTAGTCAACATTTTGGAAGCAACTGCAAAATGTCACGGACTGAACCTGATATAATGGATCTTAGACGAATGATGAAAAAGACTCAAGGCAAACACAGTACAGTAAAATCTTTATGATTTTGAATCTGTACAGTTCTGACCGGCTTCTTTACTTTTACGTGTTTTATTTGCATTGAATGGGAATTTGCCATAAATCAAAATGTTAGTCATATAGTATCTGTGTCTTAATACTATTTACGTTAACATATGCTGCTAGATTGTGAATTACTTGTTTTATGAACTATGACTTGGAAATATTTCCATATAATTATGTTCTATAATTCAGACTTTTCCTTCCCCATATTACACCAAATTAGTCAAGTATTTAATGTACATATTAAATTTTAAAATTTATACATGTTGATCCACTCATTCTAGATCACATATTAATAATCAGAATTCATGTAATAATTTTGATAAAACAATATTTGGCCATAAGTTCAGGTGCCTGGCTGTCTGTCTAGTGTCAGACAGACATGCTGAATCTGGGAGGTGAATTTTTCAACTTCTCATTACAAATGTGCCAAGTAAGTGGAAATATATGCTACTAAAAATATGAACCTAAGGAAGAATATCACATCTCACTGCAACTATCACTTTTGTGGAAGTGGAACATTTTAATGGAAGATTGACACATATCAAAATAACCAAACTTCCAGCATTTAAAGGTGCCCTGTAGACAGTTTGACCAAAATCACAAACCATAACTCAAGCTAGAACCATCATAAAAACAGAAACACCTTGTAACTATTTTCATTGCAGCTGTTAAATTCCTTTTAGAAAAGAGTCTTTAAATTAACTGTACGGGCACTTGATAAAGAATGGTACGAACAGACAAACTGTCTCAACTCATGCCTACTTTCAAAATGTGCAATCAACAAATCAGGCAGCACTATGTATCACTTACACGTGCTCTGGGTGCTCACGGATGCATTCTATGAGTTTCTGCGGTTTGAGTACACCTGTACAGATCCTATGTACAGCTGTGAATAAAGGAAACCTGAAACAAAACATTAACTCACTTGAGTCCCTGTCATTTTGTGCACTAAGTCCCTGGTTCCTGGACATTTCTGACACAAAATAAAGTAATTGCTGCAATCATAAATGCACATATCTGCATGCATGGAATTTTGTGCACTTTCAGGTCAATGATTGGAGGGACACGGAAGTTTCACAATTTTAGCAATAAAAACTGAAAGGAGCTCAAATACAATAACAAATTCAAAGCACACCATAAGAATTATGGTGTGTCAGCGCACAGGAATCTGGCTCTGACATGGAGATACCCACAGGGTGGGTTTCTGTTTCTCCCATGACAAGGTGGTGATGATACCGGGAACATGTAGGTTAATGAGGACTTCAAACCACTGAGGGAGCACAACTCACTACATTTGCAAAGGATCAATTCTGTCATAGGCAGGACTGAATCATACCAGATTCTAACCCAAGACCTTCAGTCTTACCCCAAACCCTTCAAGTTCCTTTACAGTCACAGAAACTAGTCATGCAAACAGTACTATCTTCTTAAATGTGATGCAGTGTAGTGTGGTAGAAGTTTAGCAATGTTTTGGAAGTATATACGGCCTCCATCTACAGGGTTAAAGAGCAAGCCAAGTAGATAAAGGAAGCAAGCTGAGTGGCAAATATTGTCACATGATGGAGTGACTCTCAACAGAGTTTTGGATTGGAGATTGGAGTTACTGACCACTTACAGGTTGTAGCTACAAATAAATATAACACTATCGCTGATTTCCACACTTTACCAATCACTCCAGCACATGCTAAGTCTTTTTGGTCTGCTTTCACTAGTCATTTCCTGGCAACGGATTTCAACAAGGTAACTATAACAGTCTCACTGAATTACACACTCCACATATCACTGTAATTACAACAAAATATGGCAGTCTAGGAATATGCACTGAGAGCTCAACTGAGTGATGACTGTGCTACTAACTGAACACAGTTTATGTACACAATGAATATTGATATAAAGATTCAATGCAGAAAGCTCTGAACTTCACTGCATCAGACATAACACTGAAAACTGGTTTATTTGAACTAAAGACAAATAAAGCCTTACTTGTCCTCCATACTTCTATTTTTAAGCATAAAATTAACTTCTGAGGCAGTGATTGGTCCTTGAAGCTTCTGGCCATTAAGCAGTTCTCTCTCCAGCTCCTCGATACTCTGCACACAAACAAAAAGGAAATTAAGAACATGGAATTTGTTTCAGTATAGCAAATGGGTGACATGACCATTAAGCAAACTCATATAAGTTTGACTGCCCTTGAAATGACTGTTGCATTTTCAAACTACCACCCTGTTTCTTGGCATATAAGAATAAAAATGTATATATGACACTTGCTAGACCACATGAAACAAAGAGCTGATGACAGACACTGATATTGACAGAAATGTGTTTCATGATGAGTACTGCAGTGTACACCCTTCCAAACTGTCAAATAAATCAAGAAATTATGACAGAACTGCATGTTGACAGGATGAGCTCTGAAAGGATATTAATACATCAACCGAAATGAAAAAAAATCTGTATGACCTCTGAAATGATAGAAGGAATATCTTCTGTAATCTTGCTCAATAAACATAATCCTGGAAAGGATGACAAAATCTCAATTGCATGAACAAGCTAAAGAGATTCATATGTTTTTACAGTCTCACTGGTTTGTGCAACAATTAGAAAAATTGATCATAACCTTCTAAACTGATTGAAACAAATAATTATGGAACCAGTAACAAAAATTAAATTTGAAGGGTACAGCACAAAAGTGGGATGTATCTATTTGAGGTGAACATTCGGTTTTACATTGTTTCACACATGCAAACAATCTCCTGACGTACTGACGGAAGAAGAGCCGATTCAAGTGGTCACATACACATCACCACCGAGCAGGGTGGTCTGTCAGTAATGCTCTACCTTTGTACGAGTATTTACAAGGTGCTCTGTTTGAGCCATGGCTGGGATACTGCCTATCCTGGCTCACATAGTCTGGAATGACTCTTGGACCCACACAGCCTCCTAGCCAACAGGCAATGGGGGCTCTATCACTGGGAGTAAAGCAGCTGGGGTGTGAAGCTAACCACTCACCTTCATCCAGTCCCAAGGTCAAGAATGTTACAGCTTGATGTACCCCAGGTTATTAATGGGTATGCTTTATTCTAATGAGGGGTAAAATTTATGTTTTATTAATTAGAAAATAATTATAAGTTTTATAAATTTAAATACGTCGGGTGAACCACAAGTTGGAAACCTGCCGAAAGCCACAGTTGAGACGCCATACATTCTTTAGCCACCCAGTGTCAGTTGTACAGTCTATAGAAATTGCTGACAAATTAACTGACGACACGAGACAAGTCTCGCCACCGCACAGTTTGCTGACTTTATTGGGTCTGTGCGAGCAGCTTTCTGTGATGTTGAATTTTGAGGGGCTCGAACAGGAGGAGCCGCGAACACTCTTAAGAGTCGCTCAGAATAGTCGCATGGTAGGAAGGAGACGCAATGAAGTCAGATGTCTTCCTCCTATATAAGCGTGAGTACTTGCCTGTGTTCGGATCACTGATGGTTGTCAATATATGATTGTGGTTCAATGATTTTGGTTAATTAATGGGTTCTTAGGATAAAATTGGTTAAATTATTTTAGCGTATAAACCTTGGAGTGTTACAGAGTAATTCTGACTTATTGAGTGATGGTTTAGATACAAGTATCTGGTATAGTAATTAAGTTTGGGTGTAACATTTGGTTTGTTAATTGTTGGTTAAAATTTGAAAGTTGGTTAAATGATTCACTATTGGAGTACATAAGTTTGGTTTACGCCATGCAGGTTTAGTAGACTAGGGGTAGTAAGGTTTAAGAGGTAACTGCAATGGGTGTAATCACAGAATGTGTGTTAACACATTCAGGACCGGAGGGGCCAATTGGCCCTCTATGTTTCTATAGTGTTGCAGACCGGGCGGGCCAATTGACCCTTTTCTGACGCATTATGTTGCAACCGACTATATCTTGCTGTGTGGCCACGTTGCATCATAACTACTGCATAGTTGACCTAGGAAATGTTTGCTAGCTTAGCCAGTAACATGATCACGCTCATTTCCTGTCACACCCTAAAGAAAAAAGCCTCTGTTCGAGTCCAAGAGGAAGGGGGACATTCTTCTTCAGTCCTGGAGGGATACTTGCGTTGTGAATATGGTTTCCACTCTTCACAATTCGAGTATGGTTGATGTTCAGAGATGCCACGGGCAAGTGAAGAAGCCTCTTTGTATTTCTGAGTATAATATATTCATGAAGGGAGTTGATAGGGCCGACCAGTACTTGGCCTATTATTCCCTTCCTAGGAAAACAGTAAAATGGATGAAGAAAGTTGCACTGTGGCTTATAAAATGTGCACTTTTCAATTCATTTTCGGTTTTCAAAAAGGTGAACAGAAATTCTACTTTGAAATACAAAGCATTTCTGTTGAACTTGGCAAAAGCTTGGGCTACTGACCTCACGGTGGCGGCAGTACCTGTGTCAGACACAGACGTAGTGCAGCCGGGGCCATCTGTTCCCACGCGCTGGAGGCCTCATGTGGACCCCCCTGGACGACTCTCAGGTGATATGTGGAAACATACCCTTGTGAAAATTGTAAAGAGTGAACACTGCAAGAAGAAGTACCCTTCTAGGCAGTGCCATGTGTGCGCTGTGCACAAAAAGCGAAGCAAGACTTCCTACGTCTGCAAGTTCTGCGTCATGCCTCTTCACAGAGGGGAATGTTTCCAGAAATATCACACTCTGAAGCACTTCTAGGAGCTCTGGTAAGTGTTCTCCAAAAATTTTAGTTCATAAAATTAATTAGATTTTATAGTAATTTTTAAAGTGAACAGTGCACAAGTTAGGGTGCTAGGCTTAAAAACCCTGGCCCCCAGGGCGATTTAAATATTTAAAAACCGGTCCGCAATGTGTTACTAGGCTGTACATAAGCAATTGTTGATTTAATTATATTTGTTCTTATTTTAACATGTTTAGTGTTTATTTGGGTATTAGTAATAAATAATTCATTGGGAGGAGTAGAAGCTATCCACAGATGTTGAACTGATGGAAATTAGGTGGGACTTTCTAAATTTTGATGGTGGTAGCAGTAAGATATAAAAAGAAATTTTTGTGCCGCAATCGTTGTGGCACAACAAGCTATATGCCCTCTCCCCTGTAAGTTTTCATGGCGTGATGCTTAATTAATTAAGTACTGCAACAAATTCACCTTTACCATGCTCTTGTGGGGGCATGCGGTAGTGCAGTAGGTTGAGGCACCATGCTACAAGCCGGAAGGTCGCAGGTTCAAGTCCCTATGAGGTCATTGGATTTTTTTTATTTACCTAATCCTTCCAGTGCAACTATAGCCCTGGGGTTGACGCAGCCTTTAACAGAAATGAGTACCAGGAATATTCTTAGAATTTTCTTGGGGGTAAAGGGCAGCGGGTGCGTAGGGCTGACAACCTTGCTGCCATCTATGAGGCGATTGCCTAGAAAATGTGGGAGCCTCAATATCTCATAACCCTATGGGCCTCCACGGCCTGTTACAGGGATACCTTTACTTACTTTTACCATGCCCTTGTTCCTAAAGATTACCGTTGGAATGACGGTGCTTTCTGATCGTTTGCGCAACTTTTCACCTTCATTAGCACGAATAATGGTCAATACTCTGAATTAATATTTTGGTTTTATTCTCAATATTCTGGGGCACGCGATAGCATAGTTGGTTGAGGCACTATGCTAAAAGCCGGAAGGTCACGGGTTCAAGTCCCGATGAGGTCATTGGATTTTTATCAATTGACCTAATCCTTCCAACTGCACTATGGCCCTGGGGTCGACTCAGCCTCTAACAGAAATGAGTACCAGGAATTAATTAAATAATTTTCCTGGGGAGTAAAGCGCAGCCAGCGCGTAAGGCTGACAACCTTACCGCCATCTTTGAGCCGATTGTCTAGATAGTGTGGGACCCTCAACATCTCACAACCCTATGGGCCTTCATGGCCTGTTACAGGGATAGCTTTACTTACTTACAAATAAAATTATAGAAGGTTCAAACTAAATGCATGATCAAACTTCCATACATGTGCAATGGTTTTATGCAGATGTTATGTACCTTTCTTCCTTTTGATTATTTTATTATTTAATGGCGCTTTCAGTAGCTCAGACTACGTGTCAAATGATATGCTGACTAGTGGACAATGACTGGGAAAGTATTGGGAACAGTTATAGCCTAGAGCCATGCTCCAGGCCAGGATTTGAACCAAGGGCCTCTAAAATATGAAGCAGGAGTGCCACCCATCTCTGGTCATTTTTCCTCTTTTAAAACTCCTACCATTTGAAGCATATGAACAAATGTGTAATCTTCAGTCATAATGAGTGGTTCAACATAAAGATTTCATACTGATAACATATTGGTAACTGGCTCACAGATGGCGACGAGGTTGACAGCCTAACGTGGTGACTGCCCTTTACCCCAGGAAGATTCCTGGTACTCATTTTTGTCAGAGGCTGAGTTGACCACAGAGCCATAGTGCGGCTGGAATGATTAGGTCAACTGAAAAATCTTGACACTGGGAACTGAACCCATGAACTTCTCGCTTGTAGCATAGTTCCTCAATCAACTATGCTACCTCATGCCCTGATAACATATTGGTGCATACCGAAAAGGCAAAGCTTTTACTGTGCCTAAGTGCAACACTATGGGGGGACATATAGAGGGCATGGAGTTACAGGGCCATGCATTCATAATTTTAACTCTAGATTAAGGTGCTTTACAGTGTACTCACTCACTCATTCTCTCTCTCCTTTGGACAGGAGGATGTGTGGTCCCCACAGCCAATCTCAACACAGTGCCAAAGAAAAATATCCGTGCCCCTACCAGAAATCAAACCTTGTACATCCAGCCTGTAGGTAATTACTTTGCTGCCCATGCAGCTGTGACTCATATTTGCAAAACAAGCTGAATACCCATTCTATGTACAGGGATAGGATGGCTATTCTTGTCACTATCACAATATACAGTGTGATTCAGAAAGATGGACACAATTTCAGTTGGCTATATTTCCTGAACTATAGGTTGCATTTGAAAGAGGATGTTGTAAAGTTTCTAATAGTACCGCTAGAGCATTCCAGCACCGCGTCAGTTGTAAGCGAGATGGCTACTATGAAACACAAGATTTTTTGCATTCGTGAGTTCAGTAAAAGTGAGTCTGCAACTGCGGTGCAGTGTGCATTTCGTCGTAAGTTCAACATCCAACCTCCAATGAGGAAGAGCATTTATCGTTGGAATAAAGAATTTGATGAAACTGGCTCTCTGTGTAAGGGTAAAAGCCCTGGCCCATCGTGTGTATCGGAGGAGAACGTGGAGCGCATTCGAGGGAGCTTTGAGCGTAGCCCAATGAAGTCAACCCCTAGTGCTAGTAGAGAACTTGGACTATCGCAAACAACTGTCTGGCATGTATTGAGGCACCGATTAGTGTACACACCATACCACCTACAACTGGTACAGGCTCTTCGTGCAAACGATAAGGTAAAGCGTGTAGAATTTTGTGACCGTATGCTCAAAAACATGGAAGATAAATTATTTCTGCCTTGTGTAATTTTTAGCAATGAAGCTACATTTCACCTAAGTGGGAAAGTCAACAGGCACAATGTTCGCATATGGGGGCTACAAAATCCCCGTGTAACATTCGAACATGTGAGGGACAGCCCGAAAGTTAATGTGTTCTGTGCAATATTGTTGGCAAAGGTTTATGGACCTTTCTTTTTTGATGAAAACACGGTTACTGGAGTAATGTATCTTCGAATGCTGCAAAACTGGCTTGTTCCTCAAATGAATGAAGATTCAGGAGATTACATTTTCCAGCAGGACGGAGCTCCACCCCATTGGCACCTGAATGTTCCAACGTTTCCTGAATGAATCTCTACCTCAACAATGGATAGGTCGCATGGGAAATGAAGACCTGACACTTTAGTTCTGGTCCCCGAGGTCTCCTGATCTTACTCCCTGCGACATTTTCCTGTGGGGATTTGTGAAAGATGCAATTTACGTACTGCCTCTTCCAACAAATTTGAATGACCTAAGAAATCGTATCACAGCTGCAGTGAACTCAGTGACGCAAGATATTTGTCATCAAGTGTGGGATGAATTCAGCTATCGTCTAGATGTTATCCATGCAGCCGGAGGGGGGCCACATTGAACATCTATAAACTTCCATGTATGTATAATCAAATGTAATTTACAGAATTCAAATGCAACATATAATTCAGAAATATAGCCAATTGAAATTGTGTCCATCTTTCTGAATCACCCTGTACAGCAGCTCTGACTGTAAAGAAGGAAAAGCAAAGAAATCACAAAATTCAAATTTAGTGATGTAATCAGAAAAAGAAAGACAGACTGTGAATGAGGATACAAATTTCATCCAAAAACTCTACCACAGCACTTGGCATATCACTTTAACAAGCCAAGGATATCATACTCGTATATCTCATGTTATATTTGGACCTTCTCTGTTATGTCCATGGTAGAAAATGGAAAATTTACATGTATGTAAACATATTTTGCACATTTCTGAAGTTTTGAAAACTTCATTACATACTTTAATTTTGATGTTGACTGTTTTCATCATGTGCTCGCTGGCATCATGTGGAGGTGGGCTGTGTTCCTGGGGTTTCATGAGAGCACACCTTTACTTCAAGGTTTGACTGGGGAAGGGGGAAGCTGGCACACCATCTGAACCAATACAGGACTGGAACAACAGGGAAATATATGAGAATCCCTACTTTAAGAGCCACCACATGTTTAACAGGGGATGAGATGTGGAACACGGTAGTGACACCCGGTGTGGCAGACGGTCTGTGTGGAATGTCGTGCGAAGGATGAAAAGGGAGAACATAAGGTCTACAGGAAGCCAACACACACTGACCACAACCTGAATGCCACTTCATATAACCATGCAGCTCAGAAATTGGGCATTCTTTCCCACTTATTGCAGGTGAATACAGCATACAATATTGTCACGTGTTGGGTATATTGCACACGACAAGTAACTTCACGCCTTATTTGATATAGTGAATTTATTGAACACTCACTCTCACAATCACACAATTTACAATCTCACAATTACTGCCATCGGCAGTATCACAAATACTTCTCCTGTAGTCACTGCCATGTACTCGATACAACTCGACTCGTCGACTGCTACAATTCACTCATTCGTAACTGGCTCAATCCTCACTACTAAATAGTGTTTGCTGCTCCTTATTTAGCCTTGGCACGGACAAAACAGAAAACGGTTACATTATAGGTACAGCTGTTGCGTGACGCCATGTTTACAGGTTGCCTAGCAGCACTGCCGAGAGTTGTTTACTGCTGTGTAGTAACCGCAATATCCCTTGTTACGTCACTGTGGGAAGTGCTGTTACATCTCTGCGGCAATGGTTGCCTGACACAGATGCTCCTCTGTTGGAGGACAGTACCCCTAAAGAAATGGCCAGAATTCCAAAAAGGCCCAGGGACTCTAAGGGACCAGGGACTTACAAGGAGGCTCTGACCAATATAAAGGTAGCTATCTTCAAGGAAACTTATTCTGAGGATAAGCTTACCAAAGATGACCAGAATTCCATTCTGGAAGCACTGGGGGAGGTGTTACATAGGACTCCAAAGGGAGACTACCACACCTGAAATCCTACAGACTAGTGGGAAGTGCACTTATTCATGGTCTGGTCAATGGCTCACGAAAGCGATTAACAACTACAGGCTGGAATCAGGGGCCAGGCTGAAGGCAACTGATGGCAGGAACCTGCCCAAGCCTGTTAAAGTGGCTCTCCGGACTAGGGACAAAATTGCCCAGAATCAGGAAGAGCTGTTGAAATGGATTGCAGACCTCAATCCAGGACTTCATACTGAGAACTGGAGGGTACTCAATAAGCAGTCTGAGTTGAAAGGCCAGAGGCTTATCTTATTCACAGACCGGGACTCCCATATTGTTATACAGGGGACCAGTTACAAAATATTCACAGAACTCTCATAGGGGCCTGTTAAGGTGCTGGATGATCCTGAAGTTCAGCATCGGGCAGAACCTGTGTCAGATACAGTATCTTCCAACCCGGTCTCTGAGGGGGAGGGGATGAGATACCCACCCCCTTAGTTGACCGGAAGAGAGTATCTGATGAGAAGGAGACAATCCCTCTTCTCGTCAACCCGACCTTACCAGATCAGGGACCTCCCTTGGAGGAAACAATGTCCGATAAAGGAAAAAGTGCTGTGGAAGAAGGTATGGAGGAGGACACCTTTCCCAGCATTACAGAATGAAAACAAAACACATACATACACACAACATACGACTCATTCAAATTAATCTACACCACAGCAAGGATGCTATGGCAATTTTATGGTAATGGTAATGGTAACAGGAATCTTCCTTTCGTCAATTTTGTTAAGGGTACTTCTTAAAATGAATACAACAACTTAACAAAAACTAACATATATTAAGGCACGCAGCAGCACATGCACATGTGAAGATAAACAAGTGCAAAATGAAGTAGCAGCATCTTAAACCCTAACAGTAGCCTCAATCTCACATGCGCTAGCTTTGCATTAACATAATTTTGGTTTGCATTAAACACAACCTGGTATCATTGCATAATTCACACTAAATTCAATATCATATTATTCAAACTCACATTATTTGTGACCTAGCTATATAGCTCGTGACCCAAGACACACAACATTCTCAGGCCAGTCAAAGACAGAGTCTATACAGAACAACTGATTATGCAGGGTGTTCTACACTGGTGAGACGGGTCACACAAACGAGGACCACAGAAACCTCTGATCCAGAATGATAAAGTGTAGAAGAATATTCAATCAGCTAGGGCCACCAGATACTTCGACATCATAATGAAATACTAAAGCTGTCCCATCACACCAGCAGTCACAGAGGTCAACCAATATCACATCAACAAATAACGGAGCTACCATTGAAGCATAGCTTGAAAGGGTATCATTTACATTCTTAAGGGACACAGAGGACTCACAACAGTACATAAGCTTCATCCTTGTTACAAAGGACTGAAATAGCTGCACAAACTCCCTAGTTTCCCCCACCCTTTTTGGCCCAACTTTGACCTAAAACTCAGAATTTTTCCTCCGTTTAATCGTTCCTACTTCTCACCAACCCTTGACTACATGGGGTCTCACCATATCTGACTATTTGTGCCGAAGGAAACATCCAGTCACCTTTAACGGCACCATTTCCTAACAATTCCGTGTAACAGTCCTACTGTCCAGGACCTACATTACCTCCTTTGCCCCTCCCATGGGTCTTAAGGTACATCTGCATATACAACCCAACTGGGCCCTTGCCCTACATACATAAATCCTAAAGATAGAGGCAGTGTGACTGCCCAAATTGTTGGCAACACAGAAAACTTCGCATGGAGCCAATGCCCAGAACAGGATCAACATTAACTAGGAATCAACATGCAACCTTAAAATCATATTTTAACTTGCTGATGCATCTATAAACATTTAACCTACTTACTTCTGAAACATTTCAAAAGTTAGTGTCTACATGTTTTGGGCATTAAGGCAGAATACATTTAAGATTCTTGTGGAAGTGCTATTACCTTCCCAGACTTGACAAATGCCTCTGACACACGACGGTTGCGACCACCATAGCATGTCGTAATGAGATCAGCCACTCCACAGCTCTCAAAGAAAGTTGAAAGTTTGGATCCAGGATAGAAAATGTCAACGTATTTGATCATCTCCATCAGGCCAAGACGGATAACGGCCGCCTTTGTGTTGTCTCCCAGTTCAAGGCCGTCCACAAAGCCAGCTGCACAAGCTACAATGTTCTGCAGAAAAACAGAACATCATATGATAAATTGTTGCATGAAACCACGCTGGCTGCAAATCTGTCTCCTCATGATTTCTACATGATTTCTATTGTCCTAATATAGATTAAATGTTCATCATCATTAGGTCAATAGGATGAACATTTTTAAGATAACAATCTTTCAATACAGGTTCTGAATCATTTTAGAAGAAAATGAAAATCCAGCACTTACCCATAACTTATGGAACCCAATGATTCATTCCTGTGTTCACAAGAGCCCTCCAACTGTCCCTGTCCTGAGCCACAACAATTCAGTCCATTCCACCCCATCCTATCTCTCTAAGATCCATTTTAATATTATCCACCCACCTATGTCTTGGTTTCCTAGGGGTCTCTTTCCTTCTGGCATTCCCACCAATATCCTACATGAATTCCTCTTTGTCCCATTTGTGCTACATGTCCTACTCATTCCATCCTCCTTGACTTGATCATTCTAATTATACTCAGCAAAGAGTACAAGTTATGAAACTCCTCACTATGCAGTTTTCTACAACCTCCCTTCACTTCTCTGTTCAGATAATCCAATAAAATAAGTCACGAGTAATACTGCTGATTTATAACAATATTCAGCATAGCTATATACAGTGAAACATTCAAAAGTAATTTAACACAGGGATTACTGACTTGGAATCTTTTAGTCATTGTTCATTTTAGAGCTTTAAGTATTAAGACTATATACATATATACGTATAGTGATGTGTTTGTTCACTGATTTAATGCTTAGAAGAATGTTGAAAGTTACTTTCTTATGTTCAGATCGTAATCAGTGTTTTCCCTATCTAATATTTGAGCACTAGTATTTTGGGGTGGATACCTTTCATATAAAGTA